CAGTTTTGCAGAGTTTCAACAGGCAACTACAAGCTACAATAGTCCCTAGTACTAGGTTACCATACACCCAGGGTAACACATTCCTACAACATCATGTTGGTATAGCACAGTGGTTCTCAAACTTTTTCGGTCATGATCCCCTTTGGAAACAGATGAACTTTTATTTCTCCTTAACCCCCGTACACATTTATTGGAAAGGCTGGGCAGCAGGCACAAAGCTACAGACTGTCGTGTGACATCACTCAATGTCAGCTGCCACTAGCTTCCTTATGCTGCATTCATGGGCTATTTTACAGACAAGAAAAACAAGTGCAAAATTCTACGTGAACACTCTATGAATTTGGAGCTATGAGCTGAAAAGGAAAAAATTCTAATTCTTAATACCTTAATTCTCTGACTTGCAGAGTCTAGAACATTGCTTCTGTCTTCTATCTAATACAGTGGTTCTCAACCTTCCTAATGCCGTGACCCTTTAATACAGTTCCTCATGTTGTGGTGACCCCCAACCATAAAATTATTTACCCAGTAATTATAATTCATGAGTGTCGTTTTACCTCCAATACTGCTGCTTTCAACACAGTAGCTGCTTTTAACAAAGTAGCTGCTTTCAATACAGCAGCTGCTTTCTACACAGTAGCTGCTCTTTACACATCGGAAATATGTGTTTTCTGATGGTCTTAGGGGACCCCTGTGAAAGGGTCGTAGACCCCCAAAGGGGTCATGACCCACAGGTTGAGAACCACTGATCTAATAGCATGTGAACACAGCTTACGATGTTAGATGGGTGGTGGGTACATAACAAGAAAAACATTGGAGTCTGTGGCCTTGTCACCTGAAAACACAGTTTTGAACTGCTCAGATTTTTACAGCCTCACAAATCAGGTGAAATATAAGTTCCAATCGAAAAATTCCAGAAAGTGGACAGCAAAAAGATGGTACAAAAGTAGATGAATTATGCACAGTAAAGGACTGCACACTGAAAATAATGGTATAAAGAGGTGGGTTACCATCTGCATAGATGCTGTACCAGATTGTGACAGCCTCTTCATTAGCTATGGCATCCACCTTCACTATGTCCAGCATCATCACAAAACATAGCTTGGAAGGAATACTGGAGCACTTTATTGTTTACTCATTGAAGCATATACCAATTTGATTAGTGCTCACTTCACCATCATAAGGCACAGGAGTCTGGGGCACTTATCACTGTGCAGTCACAGTAATTATGTAGCTCCAAGGGTAATATAACAGTAAGTGTCTCATTCAGTGGCTTCATAAATATAGTGTCATTAGCCTCAGGTTAAACCAGAAGCATGGCAACCCTACATGTGGCATCCACTGCCTCAAACTGTAGGGATTGCCTCCCAAGGGGGTTATGCTCCACAATATGAGAATCACTGGTATACCATAACACTTCTGTACTGCTTAAAAATGAATTCCAGGTACGGCAAATTTTTCATTGTTAAATTGGTCCAGCTTGGACCAATGCAAGTATGTATGTGCCATACCTTTGGGATGCCTGTGGAAGCTGAAAATCACTGTACTTGGCACTGCTACTAGTGATTGCTGCTAGATTCCAGGCCCCATGCCAAGTGGATACACAGCTGCTCACTGATCACAGGAGGTCACCTTCAGAGAACACTTTAAATTTTCTTAATTAATGCAAAGAGATCTCTGACTAGACAAGATGGAGATTGTGATGTCACTGCCCCACCTCTCCAGACTGTCCATTCAGTGAATGCTTTGCATTCATTGAGAAAATGCAGTGTTCCCTGAATGGTGCCCAAGCCAAGCCTAGCTTTCTTTGTTCATAAGGCAGCAGGGTAGGCACACGGACCCGAAAGCTAGTCAAGGTCACTGCAGTAGTGGGACCTACTAGAGTGATTTCCAGTTTCCACGGGGTCTGAAAGGTATGGTGCATACATACTTACATTGGTCAAAGCTGGACAAACATGCAGAAATTGCAATACCTGGAATCCAACTTTATCTCTATTGAGCTGTACTCCAAGAAATGATGTAAGAATACCAAATAAACACTGGCACTGTTGTTCTTGCTGCTTTGGGTAATAAATGTCCAATACATATATACCTGAAAAGTGAGCTGGTTGAATATTCTTGCACCTGAAATGACTGGTATGTGATCAACTAATGCAAATGACTACTTTCTTTGTCTATATCACTACTCACGTCACCCTCATTTTATGACAACATGCAGTACCTAATATCTGGACCTACCCTCTTCAGAAGGTGTGCTGCTTAATGTGTTTGTCTCTGTGCTCTCAGAGTGCTATCTTGCTTTGATGGTCATGGCTCACAATTTTTCTCCCCAAGCAATCAAGGTTCCTTTTTAAATGAGCCTACAGTGGGGAAAATAATGATTTAATCCCCTGCAGATTTTGTACGTTTGTCCACTTACAAAGAAATTAAGAGTCTATAATTTTTATCATAGGTGTATTTTAAATGAATATCAACCAAAAATCCAGAAAAAAATACATGATAAAAATGTTATAAATTGAATTGCAGTACAGTGAGTAAAAAAAATATTTGATCCCCTACCAACCAAAAATAATTTTGGCTCCCACAGACTGGCTGTGAGTAGTTATGTCAACTGAAGTAGGTGCTCCTAACGACACCTTGTTATGTGTATAAAAAAAACACCTGTTCACAGAATCTCTTTCTTCAAACCTCACCACATGGGCAAGACAAAAGGGCTCTCAAGGGACATCAGGGACAAGACTAGACCTGCACAAGGCTGGAATAGGCTGCAAGACCAGCAGCAAGGAGCTTTGTGAGAAGACAGTTGTTGGAGCGATTATTCAGAAATGGAAGAAATACAAAATAACCATCAATCGCCCTCGGTCTGGAGCTCCATGCAAGATTTCAGCTCAAAAGGTAAGGGTGATCTTGAGAAAAGTGAGGGAACAGCCCAGAACTACACGGGAGGAGCTTGTGAATGGTCTCAAGGCAGTTGGGACCATAGTCACCAAACAAACCATTGGTAACACAATTTGCCACCATGGATTGAAATCCTGCAACATTCACAAGGTCCCCCTCAAGAAGGTACATACAGGCCCGTCTGAAGCTTCCTAATGAACATCTAAATGATTCAGAGAAGGATTGGGAGAAAGTGCTGTGGTCAGATGAGACCAAAATTGAGCTCTTTGGCATTAACTCGACTCGCCATGTTTGGAGGAAGAAAACTGCTGACTATGACCCTAAGAACACCATCCCTACACTCATGCACAGAGGTGTAAACATTATGCCTTGGGACTGTTTCTGTTCTAAAGGTACAAGCCCACTTTGCTGCATTGAGGGGTCATTGGACGGAGTCATGTATTGTAAAATCTTGGATGAGAACCTTCTTCCCTCAGCCAGAACACTGAAGATGGGTCGTGGATGGGTCTTCCAGCATGACAAAGACTCAAAACATACCACCAAGGCAACAAAAAAGTGACTCAAGAAGAAGCACATTAAGGTCATTGAGTAGCCTAGCCAGTCCACAGACCATAACCCTAAAAAAATGTATGGAGGGAGCTGAAACTTTGAGTTGCCAAGCAACAGCCAAGAAACCTTAAGGATTTTTGAGGAGATCTGTAAAGAAGAGTAGACCAAATTCCCTCCTGAGATGTGTGAAAACCTGGCAACCAACTTCAAGAAACGTCTTACATCTGTGCATGCCAACAAGGGTTTCTACATCAAGTAGTAAATCATGTTTTGCTTGGGGATCAAATACTTTTATTACTCACTAAACTGCAGCTCAATTTACAACATTTGTATTATGTGTTTTTTTCTGGATTTTTGGTTGATATTTTGTCTCTATCATTTAAAATACACATATGGTAAAACCTATAGACCCTTTATTTCTCTGCAAGTGGGCAAACTTACAAAATCTGCAGGGGATCAAATAAATATTTTTCCCACTGTACTCACTTAGAGGTCCCTGATTACCCAAAGATCTAAATATCTGCTCTTATTTCCAGACCAATGAAACTTTAGGAATGTTTCTACCACTTAAGACATTGGATTGTAGAACACATGATGCAGAGGGCTTGTTCTGGAAATTGTGCAGATGCAGTTAAGCAGAAGAGTCATATACATAGTGTGAGCATGTACAGTTGATCCTGTCAGCCACACAAAATCATTACACAACACTGGATACAGACTATTTATGCTATTGTGTACCTGTTAAGTCAACAGCAGGTAAAAGGGAAATGTACTGAGAGAAATATGGAGGTAGCCATTGCTGGCCTTGATCTAGACATTCCTGGTAGAGTGGAAATGGCAATGGCGACTTCTACACACCATAGGATTTGATTGATCACCTTGGGTTGTGATAGGGATGAGTAAATCTAGAACGGAAGTACAACACTGTCATTTTAAAGTCAATTTATTTCAGTGAAACAAAAAGGATGAAAGACTGTACACAAAGCCAATGCATTTTGTGGGCTACAGTCTTGTCATCCTTCATCATGGCTAAGAATAACATTCTTTATATTTTCTTTGTGCTTTTTAACCCTGTTGAAGGGGGCAAGGATACGGCTCCCATATGGAGTTGGCTTTGTGTATAGTCTTTCATATGAGTTTTACATTAGAATAAACATGTAGGACATTAATATCATGATGTAGCACTTCTAGATTTACTCTTCCTTCTAAAATTGTCTGGATTTTCCTGGCTTCAGGGCTTTCTGAGATAAAACAGCCAGGCCAGGAAAGTCAGAGCCAAGTCAGATCTCCTAATCTGTACACATTTTCCAAGTCAGCAACTCAGAAAGTATTAAAAGCATTGAATCATAATGGCACCCATCAATCTAGCATTTTCAGCAATGGTAGCCTCCATGCTTCGTCAGTACATTTTTCCAACAAGTCCTCTGTCAGCAGTATACAACACTTGGGTATTGAAATTTTTGCACAGTCCAGGACTGAAATAGCTATTTGAAACATAAAGGTAAAATATTTGTATGTGCCCAGTAATCACAGCGTACTGTCATCTAAAAGGCTTTTCATAAAGTTTTCTTCCCAATCACTGTTTTCTGCAGCAACCTGCCTAAATAAAGCTTGGATTGTGTGTTTTCTCTTTGTATGCCTGCGGAGGGTGTTTTTTTCTGTGAAGCGCACATAGCAAATTTCACATTGATAGGGCTTTTCCCCAGTGTGCACCCTTTGGTGTCTTTGTAGTTCACCAGATTCACGGAACCCTTTGCGACAGATGTTACATAGGAAAGGTCTTGCTCCCGTGTGAATATGCTTGTGGCGTTGCAGGTGAGAAGAGCGTTTAAAGCTTTTTCCACAAACTTTGCATTCAAATGGTTTGCATTCTGAGTGGGTAATACTATGGCGTTCCAGATCGGATACATATAAAAATGACCTGAAGCAGACAGGGCAGTAATGAAGTCTTCTGGATTCCTCTGATGATAGATCATCTAGGTCATCAACATTTCGTAGTGATGAGATTATATCATCTTTGAAAACTGTGTAAGGAATCCCTTGATCATCTATCAACAGGAACTTGCTTTTCTCTGTACAAGATTCATCTTCACTCACTTGAGGCTGGCATCTGAGGCCTTTGGTTTTGGTAATGTATTGTGAAAGGCAATTGTTGACCTTGTCACCTTCTTGCTCTTCCTCAATAGTGTCTGATACGCTCACAATGCCTGATAGATCATTACTGAAAGGTTCTAAACCAGAGCTCATCTCAGGAGAGCAAGGGTCCTCAATTCTGGAATCTAAAGAGACAGGACTATCCTCTATTCCTTGAGATACTTTTGAAACTGTGTTTGAACAATGTAAAGGTTGTGGCAGCTCATCGACAATTTCACAATCATAATCTCTTACTGCCTCAGAGTCATTCTCTATTGTATTCCAAGGAGTTCTGAGTAGTGAATGTGAAATTGGTACTGTAGCTACTTTTATTAGTTCTGTTCCAGCTGTTATCCATTGGGATGTTACATCTTCAGCTACATTTTTGTGATGGATATTATCAAAGTGATTGTATGGAATGTGAAATCTGTCTTCAAATCTAACATCTGGGCTGGCAGAAGGCAAATGTTGCATATAGCAATGAGTGTGAATGTCATTACCAACACATGCTTGCAGATTACTACCATACCGATATGTTGGTAGAGGTACCGGCTTTAGACGTGAGCCATAGGGTTCTCTAACTACCGGTTGGAGAGCATGGGTCCAGGCCTGGTTCCATGGCATATGGTGGCTCAATGGATTTGGTAGGTTAGTCCACTCCTTAGGACACAGCTGATTAACCATCCAAGGCTGATGAAATTGCTTGTTATAGTTTGTAGACTCCATTATTAAGTATTTTTCATACACATTCCATTAGTCTTTACTTACTGGTCTACAACTGTAAATAAAAAGGAAAATATCATTTCATTTGTATACTGCATATCACTACACCTACTACTAAACCTGTTACAAACCTGTGCAATTCTTACTAAACATAATTGAGTGCATGGATAACAAAATATTTAAGCACATGTTAACTTCAGTAAAAAAAAAAAATAAATGAAAAAGATAAGCTGATCCAGAGATATAGGCAGCTGAATTTGTTGTATATGCAAATCTTTTCCTCTAAAAACTGTGTTTGGACACACCACCTTTCACTTTCCAAGACTCCTTGTTAGTCAGTGAGGCCACTCATCAATTCAAAGGCCGTTAGGAGGGTTAGGAGTGGGTATAAGAAAAGGAATGGGGAAAAGTCAAGATCTGCATTTAAATTTAGCTGCATATATGTCTTAATCTGCTTATTGCTTTGATTCGCATTTACTGAAGGTTGTTGGTAATTTCATTTTTTTGTCTTATGGTCAGTTGGAATTGCCTAGTTTTGTGATAGTTTAGGGTTTAGGTTAAAGCTGATCTGTAGCCATCTAAAATAATATAGAATGTAGCACCACTAGAATCATTTGTTGTCCTCATATTGTTTACCCTTTAATGGCTCAAATTTTTGTTCAAGAATTGTCTCCTTCCAAGTTGTCTGGTTACAGAGCAGTAATTAAGATGCGGTTAGGGTAGAGATTCAGGAGAACATGCTCCATCCACTCAGTAACACCCACTGCATGAACTGTAAATGTAATAATGGTGCTGTGGGTAAGCATTGGAGACATGTTAGTGGCTGTACTTCAATCCACAAAATCATAGCTATTCCTTGTTACTATGCATAGCTGTCAATAAGAAAAATGCAAGTGAATTCCAATACAAATTCACAGACAATAAATACATTTCTAAACATAACTGCTTATCAGAAACATAAATATAATCCACTGTGGTGGCTACAGCTCCACTTTATAACACAGCAATCAATCAGCAACATACAAGGATTAGCAAATTGATTTGTAAATCAAAAGGTAAATTGCGCATTTTTTCATTGCCTGCCTGCATGTTAATTTGTCCAATCTGCAGAGATTCCAATAATTCATGAATCATGACTGCCCAGATTCCTAAACTTTATGAATGAAAAGGCAGATATATGAATAGTTTAATGTTTTTTTTTACTTTTAAGGCCTTCTACCCTACCCAAACAATGTGAAATATCTACCATAAGCAGCTGCTTAAGTTAAATATTGCATGTCTAACTAAATCTTTCTAAATTTAAAAAGATCGACCAGAGTCCCTAATAATATTTATTAATAGATGAAATGTGTAACAAATTAATTAAGAATAGAAACTAATCCATAAGTAACAGTAATATAATGCAAATGTAACAAAAACAAACAAACCATTCTATGTAAATAGTCAATTATAATCCCAACAACAAATTAGGCAGACCCCACAGCTCTCTAAAACTCTACCAGTAATCTCACTAACCAGAAGTCAGAATGGCTTGACCGTACATTCATCCTTCCGACGCATTTCATCCCATGAAGACTTTCTCAAGGGCTGCAACTCTATTAAAAGTTAGAGAGCTGTGAGATCCTCCTGTTTTGTATATGAATATCTGAGTGCAGCGTGCATTACAGCCATATGTGATTCTTCCTGTTTTCTTCGTATACTCTTAATAAATTACTTTTTTAGGTTATATGAAGCTTTTATTTATGTGGTTACAATGATCTAATACATGAAATGGATTGAGATCAGTGAAGGATTCAGCAGAAGGCTTTGCTTGGCTTGCTCATGTGTAGGTTCACAGCAGCATAGACATAAGCTTGACCTTTTTGAAGGGTTCATGGCAGTGGATGCAATCACCTTGGAATACCTGTATTCCAAACATTCACAGTGATGCCTATTTGATCGAAGATTGGTTACAATGTGGATTTATGTGCATGAAGAGACATGTCTTATTGGGACTATAATTGACTATTCACATAAACGTGTTTTGTTACATTTGTATTATATATTATTTTTAATTATGGATTTGTTTATATCCTTAAAGGATAAGTTAACTTTTTGGACAAAATAATAAATGCACATTTTTTTTGCAGGTAAAAATATGTGCATTTATTATTTTTGTCCAAAGGAGCCTGGAAAGCATTGCACTAGCTATCAGTAGATCACTGATGCCATGCAGGTCTCCTGCAGACCTGTCAGAATATCTGCTTGCCGTACAGCATATTCAGACTTCTCCCTGTACTATCTGTCAGAGGGAGGGGGGTGGTGGGCACGGTTGCAGCTGCAGCTATGGGAACATGTTACATGTTCCACCCTAAAACTGGGTGGAAGATGTAACATGTTCCCAAAGGTGAAATTATCCTTTAACCATTAGCCGCCCGGCCAATAGCCGTTTGGCGGCTTGAAAAGCGCTGCAGCTTTCCGGGTCCACGCCATTTGGCGTGCTCCCGCACATGCGCCGTTTGCGCTATTGCAGAGCGGCGCAGCAGCGGGATCTGTCACCGCCCCCGTGCACCTCGGACACGGCCGATGACAGATCCGAGTACCGGCTCCCGTTGCCGGTACCATGTGACCTGCCGCGACCAATCACAGCAGGTCACATGACAGTTGTATACAATGGATGGCTTCATTCATGATGCCATCCATTGTATACTAGTGCCTAGCTGTGAATGGTCACAGCTAATCACATGCACATGTCATGTGATTAGCTGTGACCAAATCACAGCTAAGCACAAAAAAAAAAAAAAAAAAAAAAAAAAGCTGAATGAATCGATTTCATTCAGCTAAATGCTTGCTTATAGCAAAGTAATTCTTTGCTATAAGCAAATTGTGTAAAAAAAAAAAAAAAAAAAAAAAAAATACTGATCACTTCCCCAAAGTAGTACAATGTTACTATGGTAACATTGTACTATTTTGGTCATAGTAAAATATGAAAAAAAATCTTAAAAAAAATTAAAAAAAATGTAATAAAAAATTAAATATAATAAAAAAATAAAAAAAAATTAAAAAAAAATATAATTTTTTTTTTTTTTTTCATACTGTCACCAGTCAGTGTCCCTGTTCACCGCCATGCCAGTTATATGATGACGCTGTACTGCACTGGTGACAGTATGTAAAAAAAAAAAATAGTGAAAATAATATTTTTCATTTTTTCATTTTCGGAAAAATTATGACAAAAAAATACAATTTCAAAAAACTCGCCATGCCTCTTATGAAGTACGTCCGACTGTCTACTCAGCAAAAAGGGGTCATTTGGGGATATCTGTACTATTCTGACATTCTTGGACCTCAAGAAATTAGATTGGCTGTCAGTACTTCAGGATTGATCAATATTCAGATCTATACCATAGTTTGTGAACTCTATAACTTTCCTACAAACTAAATAATACATCCTAATTTGGGTTATTTTCACCAAAGACATGTAGCAGAATACATCTCGGCCTAAATTTATGAAGAACAATTATTTATTTGTAAACTTTTATAACAGAAACAAAGAAAAATGTGTTTTTTTTTCAAAATTTTTGGTCTTTTTTTGTTAATTTAGCAAAAAATAAAAACCCCAGCGGTGATTAAATACCACCAAAAGAAAGCTCTAGTTGTGTGAAGAAAATGATAAAATTTTAGTTTGGGTACAATGTTGTATGACTGCGCAATTGTCATTCAAAGTGTGAGAGCGCTGAAACCTGAAAAATGGCCTGGGCAGGAAGGTGTAAAATTGCACGGTATTGAAACGGTTAACTTTATCCTTTTACACATTTTACTTATTGATAAGCATGTTTAGAGACACTTATAGCACTTTCTGAATGTTGATAAATTATATTGCATATCAAAATTTTGCATTGTTCTAATGAGCCAGAGGTTTAAGCTTATTTTTTCAATGCTCTCTATTTGCATCTTTGATGTACATGGCCTTATTGTATGCATACCTCAACAGCTCAAGCTGAAATTTACACTTACCAAGTAACATCCCTTATAGGACATTTCAGTCTGCATTTTCTGTACCCAATGTGGTTCTATA